TCATTTTGCAGACTTTATCAGCAACTGTGCATGTAGTGTGGAGAATATTGGTCCTCAACCAATCATCTCCTGAATCACCCTTGGGAGTCAGTAAACTCTTATGAACCACCAAAGTCTCATGGCCATCTCCATATAACACATCATCAATGTTATCATCGTCATACACAGCATCCCCAATCTCTCCAGTCTCATCTACCATGTCCTCCTCAATCAATAATTTTTTTTCCATTTTGACTAGCAGGCTTAATGCAATCAGTAGCCCTATACCCTTGTTCACCACAACGAAAACACTTAATAGAAGGATTAGAATTACCCTGCGGTATCTATTGGACGGGACGGGAATCCTGAGGGTGAACTGGTCGATTGTTCTGATCATTCCTGAGCACTGGCCTCCTGTTCTACTGTTTTTCAACAACTAATGCACGCTGATAAGCTTCTAAAACTGTCCACAGTGAGTGAAGGCTGAGGACATCCTGCAGGGGTTGGCGCAACCCTCCCAAGTACCGTGCCACCATCTGTTCCTTCGTATCAGATAAGTCATTCCTGGCGACCAACTAGTAAAACTCCTTCGTGTAATCATCAACTGATCTCAAACCCTGCCTCAACGTATGAAGTCCCTGAAATGAAGTTTGAGTATAACCGAAGGGAAGAAAGTGATCCTTCATCTTTTTCTTCATCTTCTCCCAATCAACGATCTTGGATTTGCTCTGCTTGTCCCGTGAATGCCTCAACTATTCCCACCAGGTAGACGCCCTGCCCTTGAGTTTGATAGCAACCAATTTTACCTTTACACGATCCGGCACTTCCTTGTAGTCAAAGATACGTTCCACTTCATTTATCCGGTCGATAAATCCCTCAGCTTGTAATGTACCAGAAAATTTGGATAGATCCACGAGAAAATCGAGATCCCTATAACGCTCATCCCGACTACGGTGCTCCCGACATAAATCACGTTGGTGGTAGGGATTTTCAAAAACAGCGGAATCAGACTCGGGCTCGAAGACCTCATGGTCCTCCAAATCACGCGCCGCGGGGCGCTGGGTTAACTCTGCAACTTGCCTCTGCAAATCTTCAATTGTAGCATCCTAAATATTACGATCACGGGGTTGGACTTCTTCAATCGAAACCTGCCCACGTCGACCACGACCTCCAGCCATTGGAACTGATGAAATCTTACCCAGGAAGAAGATTGAACCTCTGATACCCACTGACGCCGGGCAGAATAGTGATTGTTTTGCAGGCTAGTTCTACTAACAATTTCACAGGGACGAACACAAGATTAAGGCCGAAAGAAACACAGAGAAAACGTCTTTGAAGTTTAGAGAATTTTATTATATCACGCAATGATCAAAATAAGTCCACAAGCCGGACTTTATAGTCTAAATCCGAATTTTACCAAAAATGGCAAAATTTCAAAAATCACGCCAAACGAAAATATGGAATAAAATAAATATTCTGCAAAAAACTAGCCCAAATCGGGTTAAAAATCATCTCTTAACATGCAATGAAATATTACAAAAAAATAGCAAGAATTAACTAAAAATAGCAATTCGGAAGGGAAAATAGCGAAATTTGAGGATGAAAATGGCACACACCGAGCAAAGCTTGTGGCCATGATGTGCACGAACGAGCCTTTCGGATTGTGGTCATAATTGCGATTCTGATAACCTTAGCCAAAGTTATGGCCTAATTACCGAAACACGACTCAATTGTCAAAGTTACGCGATCACTTGCCATCCTTGCACCGATCTACCAACTCGTGATACCATAGAGCCACTAAAGTGTTATCGGACAACTCAACATCTGACTCGAACCCTCCTGCATTAGGCTTGGAATAAGTATATTGCTTTGGATTTCTGGTGTCGCCACTTAATTACTTGGAATTGTTGGAAAATTATGTAGAATATTTTAGGATCACTTTAGATGAAAATGTGTCTTTTCATATAAAAGATTATGACTCTAGGTATGATTATTTTCAAATGGGTGTGCCTCTTTATAGAGATTAATTCCAAGAGGTGTATCCTTTTGTATGATTGTATCTTTTAAGACACCAACTTTCTAACCTATATTTGATTCATTCATTCAAGTTGGAATACGGTGAATAAGGTGAACAAGTACCTTATTATTTAACATGAAATAATACTATCTTGTGAAGTGTCACAAATTTGATAAGTTGTATATGTTTGGAGAAGTCGCTATTCTTGTGAATCAAGATGCTTAGCCCTCTTCATTGTTGTACTATACTACACTAAAATGTGTATTGTTATGTGCAAGTAACACAACTTATTGACTTCAATCGTTGAACCAGTTACGCTGGTATACGCTTTAAAAGTATTGTTGGTCCATGTGATGACCTTGATCTAAATTGTGTGATCAAATTAATGAGAGTTTGATTGAAGTACCAAAATATGAATTGATGACCACCAAATTTAAAGTATTTAGACTTTCACGTAGCAATATCTATTTGATGGATGAATTGGACTTTGAAACAGTTGATGAACTCCAAGTTCAAGTATAACCCAAGGATGTAGAGGGGCGGCGGTTAAACATTAATACCTATGAACTTGTATGGAAAGATCAAAATTTGTGGATGCAACATTAATAGATTCCCAATTAAGAAATTTTGGGGATAACTTATTCTACAAGTTAAAATCTCTATAAAATATAGAAGAATGTCTATGAAGTGAAAAAGGGAGAAAGCCATTATACCATTTTAGAAGTTTAAGAATGGTTCACAACGTGATGTACACTAAGTCTAAAGTGGATAAAATGGGATGAAAGCCAATTATGGTGTTTATTTGGATACGCAAGAACAATTAGAATTTGAATATTTGAAGAAAATTCATAAAATTGAAATGCATTAGTTCAATGTTGAAAACTGAATACCCATGTGTGAAATCCACTAGTAAAAGTTATTGACTAATTTAATAAACATGTTTGGAAATTGATAAAGCTAATTGCTTCATAAGATGATTTCTTAGTTGGTGACAATTTGTATCTATTAAATAAATCAATCGTTGGCTGGCTATATTTTGATGAGATACTAAATTACATGTAATAGCAAGTCTATACATATATGTCATAGACACAATACTACATATCGAAAGGAAAGAGACTAAGCCTACAACATTAGAGTCTTTGTAATGGTAACCCTACATTGTTGACCGGAGATCCTAAGATCTTGGTTCAAATGGACAATTAACTTATGAAGATTCCATAAATCATTTAGGAAATTATTCCTACTCATTCTTATGATGTTTAAAGTGCTTTTTGTTTAATATTAGAAGGTTAAGATATGCTTTTAATGATTCTAATATCTTAATTAAGTCAAGTGGAATAGGACATAATATTCTTAGTAGGAGGTCACCTATGTTAAGTGTGAAATAGGACCACTTTGACGAGAATTGTTTGAAGCAATTTTTTTTCTAAACACTCATGAAACCCAAGGTTTCATGGTCAAAATGAACACAATCATGAGAATCATGAACTGTTTAGGGAAGACATTGTGTGAGTAATATTGTCTTAGTTTACACAAACGGTTGAATGATTCAAGACTCGCGTTCACCAATTAGCCGAGTAAATTCAATAATACTTCACAAAGGAAGGTTTAAGGCCTCTTTACTAGTGTCACATTATCATTTGCATATGTGGAATTTCCATTCATGTGGGGAATTATTTGAATTTAGTTTAAGAATTGAAATTTTTGGTTAAGTATAAACTTTGAAAAGCGACTTTGCGTCAACTTGGTCAAATATTCGAACTTGTTCCGATAGTCAAATTACGAAAGTAAATAGACTAACTTGTTCTAGCGCTAGGCGAGCGATAGCTCACTGTATTGCGCCGCTCAAGCGCTACATGGGTAGTAGGCGAGCGATGGAACATGTTGAAAAGGATGAGTTTTTGGGTGTGTCTCTCCAACCACGCCCCTTTATCTTCTATACAAAGATCCCCTATGACGTTTATTATTCATTCCATTCCATATTTACATTTTGGTTTTACTTAAAAACACTTTGTAGAAGTGATTCATTTTTGCATCAAAGTCATGGTTATGGTAGAAATGAAACTCCATTCGAGTTCGTTGGTGTAAGCCATTTGGAGTGGTCATATGGCTAGACCTGATTGACGGAAAACTGTTAGCACGGATGTGGGCAAATTCATCTCAAGGAAAGTGTGTTTCACTTGCCTCGGCCAATCTTACACTTACATCTCCTCTTTCTTCTTTTTGGTTTCTTTACATTGTATTTGATTCCAAAAATACTATCTTATTGTTACATGAAAGGTTTTAAATTGAAGAATGAAATGTTCTACATATAAATACTTGGTTTCGTAAGTCGATTCTGTATTAAATTATGTGCTTATATAGAAGATACGTTGAATAATATATATATATATATATATATATATATATATATATATATTCGGTGTAAAATCCCGTATAAAACCAAGCAATCGTGGAACACGAAATTGCTGTAAGCAATACAGGAAATTGTGATCAATATTGATCAGTTTCACCAATTCTTATGAATTAAACATAACATCCGCTAATCAATGCCAACAATCTAAAATAAGTACCTAAGCTTAAATTACAATAAACCCTTCATAGAATGAGAAGCCCACAATGAATTCTTCATTAAATCACATCCAAGATCAAAACTTTTAGCGGTAACGCACTAAAAGGAGTTAGGGTTTAAGATGCAAAAAGGTTCTTCATTGACCATGGCTGTGTGACTTGCTGACATTATAGACACACAAAAATCAGGTTAAGTGGAAGAGAAAATGAGGTAGGATAGAAGGAAAGGAGGAGAATGCTTTTCAAATATTGTAAATTTTTGGTCTTAAGTGTCAAGACATTTTTTATCTTCTCTCTCCAAAGCTGTGTTTCATGGAAATTTTCTCGACTTTCTATATCTTATAAAACAACAAATAAACAATATTGAGAGAACTTGTGCAATCTTCAAATGCCATGTAATATAGTGAAAACAGATTGATAGACTTGGTACCTTAAAAACCAGCTTGACATGATCCCTACATAGGGAAGCATGCGATAATACTCAACGACTGGTCTAATTGTCCAGAAACCAGTAATCTTTTCTACTAATGGACCCTGCAAACTGATAAACATGAATTTTATGAGAGGCGGGAGCACCATTAATTTATATTGTAGTTTAGGAATCAAAAAAAGTTATAAGACGATAATATGAATTATTAGCCAGAAACAAGATGTGCGTGGTTTCCCCTGTAATGAAGCAGATTTACACTAAAATTTCTGGATCATAATGTAGGTCTCCAAAATTGGATTGAACGAAAATGACTACAGGAGAAACAGATATGCTTAAGGTGATGTATGCTAAGTGGAAATTTATTTGAAAAGTACATATTTGGAAAGATGATAGTGTTATATCTTGAATGATAAATTTCACATATTTGGCATGAAAAAGATTTCCACTGCTTTTCTTGTCCCATGGTAATCAAGAAACCCTACCTTAGAGTTAGTTTGAAAGACACAACCTATTTCTTTCAGATAAACAAACTGTTGGCATGAGTTGTAATCTAAGGAAAGATAGGAGGAATTATAGGAAATGGGATGGAAAAAAAATTCTCTCCTTCACACGTTAGCTTGACTCTAGGAACAAATCTGTATAGCCTAGGATAGGAATTATATTCTCGCTTTATATATATTTTTAGCAAACGATTGTAAAGTTAATTTAATGAAAAATACACAGTGAACATATTATGACGTGGTATCAGAGCCAAATCCTAGGCACTATCGTACCATAAAACCTTAATCCTTGCCTTCCCTTACCTCGCCAACCTTGTCGGACTCCGATGTAGAGTAACAAACTAGTGCATCTCAGTCAGCAAAAATGACTGAAGCCCTTACCAAAGTCCAAACACTGACCCTGACCACCGAACCTTATAATGCTCCAATCAACATCATGTAGGATGGCACGAGTTATGCCCTCTTGTCCCAAGTTGTTGAGATGTATATCTTTAGCAAAGACAAGTTGGGATATATCAATGTAGATATTCCACAGAACTTCAGTTTCCTATGGCCAAGTTGGTGTGGTACTCCATTGCTACCAGTTACTTCGATAGGAGTGACATGTCTCGGGTCTATGATCTTAGATGTCGTGTGACACAACTCAAACAAGTTGGAGGCTCTCTTGGGAAATACTACAACGACTTTCAAGGGTTATGGCATGAGATTGACTTCTGGTGTCCTAATCCAATGGAGTGTGCAGGTGATATTAAGAAGTATTGTAGGAGGAAAGAGAGGTTTACTAACTTGGTTTGGCTAAAACTTGATAGGAAGGACAATACTAATAGGAAGAAGTAAGTAAATAAAAAAGGTAAGTTATATTTCCCAACTTCAAGACTTACACACTTGACTTGACTTATTATAAAATAGAGAGACTCTACCCCTTTATATAGGGTTTACATGAAACTTCTAAACCACACATTTTCCTAGAGACTTCTAGTCCACAAATTTTCATGAGGCTTTCTAGACTACATATTTGGACTAGATATTTTCCTAGACTATTCTAGATAGAATTTCTAGAACCACATAAGTTACTTGACACATTACTACATTTATGACCAAATCTTTCACTTAGATATTTACATGGATCTTTATAAAAAATGTTTCTAGAAATGTTAGACATTGTTGTGCTTTTTAATTTAATTGGGCCTATGAGAAAAAATTATTAACCCCATATTACTTACTCCAAAATCAAGTTTACTTTCCAACATCCCCCTTAAACTTTATTTTGCTACTACAAGTAAAGTTCTCAGCTTGCTGAACAAGTCATGCTTGAGTGGCTTAGTGAGAATGTCGATGATTTGCTCTCAGAGGTTATGTACTTCAATTGCACCTCATTATTTGCAATGCTTTCTCTTACAAAGTGATTCCTTGTATCGGTATATTTGCTTCTATCATGAAATACTGGATTCTTTGCCAATGACAGTGCTAATTTGTTGTCAATATAGATCTCCGTCGATCAATCTTGTGAGACTCCAAGCATCATCAGCAAGTTTCTAAGCCAAATCGCATGGCAAACACTTGATGTAGCTGCACAATATTCAGCTTCACATGTAGATAGCACCACGATCGATTGCTTCTTCGAGTTCCAAGTGAATGCAGTGTCACTCAAGTAGAACGCATATCTAGTAGTGCTCTTTCTATTATCAATGTCTCAGTCCCAATCAATGTCACTATATCCAACAAGTTTGAATTCATTAGATGATGAATAGATTAAGCCATAGTTAAGCGTACCCTTGATGTAGCGATAAATTCTTTTTTGCAGCCTTCATATGGGTCATGGTGGGTATCTCCATATAGCGACTGATGAGCACTACTCCAAAGAGGATATATGATCTTGTGCATGTCAAGTATCTTAGACTTTTGACAAGACTCTTAAAGAATGTTGGATCCACTTTTTCTCGTTCATCATACTTCAATAACTTGGTTCCGCATTCAACAGAGGTGTATATAGGCTTGCAATCCGCTATATTGAATTTTTTTAGAACNAAGGGAAGTATATGATTGGGTTAAAAGACCAGGAATGTCAAATGGTTATTTTTCTAACATTCCTCATTGTGTTAATGGTTATTGTAAGTTTTACGGGTTGACGCGCCATGACTGTCACATATTTATGGAAAGATTAATACCTATAGCATTTAAAGATCTATTGCCAAAACCAATTTGGGAAGCATTAACTGAACTAAGTCATTAACCTTTTTGAGTTTTAAGACTTTACCTTCATGCCCTTTTATTTTATATCCCATTGGTTGCTCCACATAAACTTCTTCTTCTAGATAACCATTTAGAAAAGCTGATTACACATCCATTTGAAAAATCTTCTACTCATTTTGCGCTGCAAGAGAGATAATTAATCTTATGATTTCTAAGCGAGCAACAAGGGCAAATACCTCTTCATAATCGATCCCCGACCGTTGGTTGTAGCCTTTGACAACCATTCTTGCTTTGTATCTCTCCACTTCTCATTTAGCATTCTTCTTTGCCTTGTACACCCACTTAACTCTGATTGCTTTTTTTTCTTTAGGAAGTGTCGTCAACTCCCATGTATTGTTCTTATCAATAGCCGTAATCTCTTCATCCATGGCATCTTTCCATCTTTTATTTTGCACTGCTTCTTCACGCCCTATTTGCTTACAATCGACAAAAAGATAAAAAAGTGTGAGATCATTTTGATTCTCTGTTACCTCATTAGCTCTTGTAGGCTTCTCATCTGTAGTGTCCTTTCCCTTAAGCTTTCTACTTATGAAGATGCTGGTAAAGCATCTCCATGAGCAGGTGATAGAGGTGGACTGGTAGGCTCTTGCTACTCTTCATTCTCAAAGAATGGCAAAAAGTCGTAGTCTTCTTCTTGGACACCTAAATCCCAAGCTCCTTCTTCATCAAACTCGACATCTCTACTTATGATAATACAACAAGTCGTAGTCTTCTTCTTGGACACCCCAATCCCAATCTCCTTCTTCATTGAACTCGACGTCTCTACTAATGATAATCTTCTCCTTGCTTGGATTATACTGCTTGTAGCCTTCAAAGCGAGAGTCATAGCCGATAAAGACATACCTTTCACTCTTGCCATCTAGCTTGGACCGCTTGTGATCTGGTACATGTGCATATGCAATGCTTCCAAATGCTGGCATGTGAGAGATAGCGGGCTTCTTTACACTCCATGCTTCTTATAGTGTCTTATTCCACACACTTGTAGAAGGCGATCGATTGGATAGGTATATAGCGCAATTAACAGCTTTAGTCCAAAGTTCTTTGTGGTATCTCTTACTTTTGAGCATGCAACGAGCCATGTTAAGAATGGATATATTCTTTCTTTTGGCTATTCCATTTTGTTGTGGAGAGTATGAAACCGTCAATGGGCGACGAATTACATTCTCCTCACAATTTTTCTAAAACACTTTGGAGGTAAATTTTACTCCTCTATCCAATCTCATGGCTTTTATGCTCCAACCATTTTCCTTTTCAACAAGAGCATTAAACTTTTGGAAAGTTCTAAAAACTTCTAATTTTTGTTTAAGAAAATAGACCCAAGTCTTTCTAATAAAATCATCAATGAAAAGAATAAAGTAATTGTTCTTATCGAGAGAGCTTAGATTGATTGGCCCACAAATATCCGCGTGTACAAGTTCTAGCAACTTCTTAACTCTTGTAGATGCTTCTTTTGGAAAAATTTTCCTCGAATACTTCCCAAATAAGCATCCTTCACATAATTGATCGGCGTGATTTATTGGAGGCAAACCTTTCACCATCTTCTTCTTACTTAACAACTTTAAGCCCCCAAAATTAATATGCTCAAATCACAAGTGACAAAGCCAACATGAATCTTTAAAACAAACTTTTAAACATTTAGCAACATCATTTTAAATGCTTAATGCAAACATTCTATTTCTTGTCACATGGACTTTAGCAATCAAATTTTATCTTTGATCTCTTATTGAAAGACTATGATATTTCAAATGAATATCATAACTCTTCTCTAAGAGTTATCCCAAACTCAGAATGCTATTCTTCATATTGGGCACATAGTAGACATTTGAGGTAAATTGATGCGTACCATTCTTCAAGCTAATTAAGATTTTACCTTTGCCTTTCACGAAGATCTTGGATTCATCTCCAAAAGTAATATTGTTTCTTACCGATTTATCGATCTCTACGAACATGTTTTTTCTTCTGCACATATGGTTGCTTGCTCTTGTATCCAAGTACCAAGTGTTCTTTTCCCAGCTTTCTTCACCTTTGTAAGCCAACAATAGTGCATGATCCACTTCATTTTTCCAACTAGCGTAATTGGCTTTCTCCTCAACTTGGTTAGTACCATTTCTACATTCTAAAGCATAATGGCTAAGTTTTTGACAATTGTAACATTTAACTTGAGATTTTTCATAACTTAGCATTTCATTTTGCCTCGTCTCTCTTCCTCTTCCATGACCTCTAGTGGAAAATGAGCTTTGGCTTCTTTCTTCCTCGTAGAATGCACTTCTTCCTCCATCTTGGCCACGCTATCTTCCTTTTTGGCTTTTCCTATTGCTGAACCTTCCTTCACCTTTGTTCAAGGTGAGCTTTGTTTGA